TTGCAATACATGACTCTTAGGGTGCCTTCTAGCTCTAAACCTATGCTTCTGTGTGAATTGGGGGTTTGATCTAAAAGATCGTGTGTGTGTGTATATATATATGTATATATATATATATATATATACATATATACAAAGATATATAGAATAGATAGGTATTATATAGATAGATATTAGATATAGATAGATATGGATATAATGTGAAGATAATTCAAGATAGACTTATAAAATTTGTTATGAAAGAAGTAAAACAATTATTTTCAATGAGGGTCAAAGTAAGAGATAACACCTGATTGGAAGGATCAGTGGAAGTTTCATGAAGAAGTCAGTTTTTAAGATGGGCCATGAAAGATGGACAGAAAGGATGTTCTAGGCAGAGGAAACACCATGAGCAAAATCCTCAAGATAATAAAATGTGGTATGTATAGTTTAGGTGGAGTACAGAGCATGTTTTTCAAGGTAAGTTTATTGGGATTTTTTCAAAAGGATCATAACCAGCCTTAGTTGAAAACAAAAACAGTTTTATTAAAGAAGGGATTTGAAAATCTGGAGAACACACAGTTAAAAGCATGAATTGGTTTTCAAGCAGACTCTGGTATGTCCAGGTCCCAGGGTACTCCATCATCATTCTCTAAGATAAGGCGATGTCTCACACATATGACTACATTTTCCAAACCTGAGTCACAGGCCCTCTGGGCTGAGGGGTTTCCTAAATGTATAAAGTTTTAGAACGATGGTGGCTTATCACTGTGTATCATCTAATACACTAGATAACTTAGGACAAAAGTCAATGGATGCTGTGTAAAGGTTGCAGAATTATTAGGACATAATATTATCACATACGGGTCTTCTGTTTTGTCTCTCTTTTTTCAACAGATTGACTGTTAGCCTTGTGCCACCTTCCTGTGCAAGGGGTTTGAGATTTTTTTAACCACTGGTTGTTCTCCCAATAGCCTCCTTTATCTGAGACCAGACTTTGAGTCTTTATTTCTAGCTCACTTTTTAAGGCTTTCTGTGCAATTATATAAGCAGTATATCATCATAGACCACTTAAGTATCTTCTTCAGAGACTTGAAGAATTTAGCATGAAAGAGGGAAAATGGATGAACTCTTAAACGTTGGTTACATCCTGCCAAGTTTTGGTCTGGGAATTACAGCCTGACCTTACCTATTTTTTTTTTTAGTCATGTTTTGGGTCTTTGTCAAATTAGATTCAAGAATTGCCAATTCATGCAATATATATGAAAGCCAAGGGTGAAGTCATCAGGACCATAGTCAACTAGATGATGGCTTCCCTGTTCAAGGGAGGAGAAATAGTGGGGTCTTCAGAAAAGTCCTGCCACCACCTTCATGAGGCCACTTTCCCAATCCTTCCCACTGTTCCAATATCTCTACCTGGGATCTATTCAATAGACAAAACCACTCAGAACCTTTATTAAAACTTCAGTATGCCTTTTAATGAGTGTTAAGAAGCCTGCTGATATTTGCCCCTTCTTCCAGGTTGCTGATTCATCAGTGCCCACCATATCAATGGTAGTTTATGGCACCAATTTGGTCTTCTAATTTAGTGAGTCTCCTTATTAAGTATCTGATCTAGCATGTAAGCTCAAGATCAAAACAGAACCATAAGCAAATATGAAGAAGTCCTAATGGGTTCCCCCTCATGTAGTAAATTCTACAGTTTGAGCTCATTGAGAGACATGTGCATAAATATTATTTTCTTGATTAGCTATCATATTTCTCCATCAACATTAACAACGTCCAATTAGTTTGCAGCTAAAACATTTAGTAGATGAAATATCTGTCCTCTCTACCAGTTAAACTCTCTCCTTAACTTCTATGTCTTTTCTTCTCTTTCCGTGTTTCCAGTCTTGTATCTCATTCATATACATGCCACAATTATCCTACCACATTCCAAACCAAATATCAATGGATCAAATTAATACAGCAGAACAAAACAAAAAACCGAGCAACAATATCATTTTAAGGTATACTTAATAATGCACAGAGAGACAAGCTTTAAAGAAATTTGAATTCTCCAAACTAAGTTTCTCAAACTTCCAGTTATCATCCACTATGCTTGTTGTTTGTCCTTCATTCTCAAAGAGGACCATCAGGAAGCTGACGCCATGACGTGCAAGTGAATTGGATTTAAGTGAGGCAGGGCTGTGCAAAGTCACCAGCCTCCCTCTCTCTTCTGGAGCCATCTGGGTCCAGTGGTGACATATAGATCAGGAGGACTGGAGATGGCCCCCCATTCACTATGCAGTGGAAACAACAAGGCACAAAGTTTGTCATGATTCACATTTAAGTCCTCAGTACAGATTCTCTCATGCAAAATTGCCGCAGACGATGATCAACTACCACAATCCAGCTTTAGTGCCTTTAGACTCCCAGAACTGCAAAACCCACCCCAAGTTTACACTTTTATCACAGTCCAGATCCTTTCCATTCCTTATTTCCAAGAGGTGCCTTCCATACTTTGTGTTCTCTTCGGCTTGTACTGTGTAATCATTCTTCCTGTGTCTCCGGTCACAGTCCCTTGTCAGGGCACACTACTACACTTTAGTTGAAGGTGTCTTGTTATATCCACTCAGTCAGATGGGAGGCCCCCTAGGCTTAAACACTAGTAATTCAGTAATGATTATAGAAATAGTCATTCAAGCAAAAGCAATAAAAACCTCAGTAAACCAACAATAGCAACATCAGCTGATCTCTATACAAGACCTTATGACTTAAAGCTGCTTTGAGTCATAAATATGCAATCCTTGAATAATTTTGTACATTTAAACATATTTTCTAATTTAATATGTTCTTTAACTTTTTGTGTTCTTTATGCCATTATGACTAATTTCTGTTCTCTTTCTTTTCTTTTTTCTCATTCTGCTATTCAGGCATATTTAATGGAAGCTTGCAGTAGTAGCTAGAGAGAGAGAGAGAGAGAGAGAGAGAGAGAGAGAGAGATTGGAAACCAGGAAGACCTGGGTTCATATCACACTAGACCCTGGGCAAGCCACTTAATCTCTCTGAGCCTCAGATTCCTTCTCAATAAAACAGTAATAATTATACCTGCAGCACCTACATCATAGGATTGTTATGTCTCCCATGAAATCACGTATGTGCTTTGTAAGCATAGCACTGCAGCTAGCCCAGGCAATGCTGGGTTGAGGCCACAGGGACTGGGGACCTTCCTCAATCCCTGACCCTTCCCTATCCTCCAGGATTTGTTCTGGGTTCATTGCTGTAGGGTTGCCTGTTGCCTCAGCAGGGGAGCAAGGCTCCTAATACTTCACTTTTACTATTTTCTGTCCATCTTCCCTCCCCCCACCTCAGATTCCAGAGGAACAAATCTAATTTTGGTTCTCATTTAAGGAGTCTTCCCTAGCAGAGGGGAAGCAAAAAAAAAAAAAAAGGCATGCAAAATACAAACATGAATCAGATTTGGAACAGGGAATTTTTTCCCCACATAGGAAATGAATTACTAAGCAATAAAGAATCATAGAATGATTAAAATCAGTTGAAAGGCTAGTTTTCAAATGCCATTGAGACCTTTGTACATAGCTTCATTGATAAAGCTTCTTATTAGCTATTTTACATTACATATCTAGCGAATACAGCTCAATCAGTGCCAAGTGGTGGGATTCCTCTGGATGTCTCTTTCTGTGTAGTGGACTCATCTGGCCAGTCTGCCTTTGCCACTGGTTCCACGGATGCCTATGGGAGGCTTTGGGGGATAGGAAGAGTAAAGGAAGATGCTGACTTCTTTTAGAGATCTCATAAGACCCTATACCAAAGGAGAAGATGCAAACAGGGGGCAGCCTCCCATCCCAGACCCAAGCTTGCCTAAGAGGTCGTGAGCTCATGGCTTCAGACCTGATGTAAAAAGGGACATCCTCCAAGCAACTCTCTGGTTCAGAAAGTCATATTCACAACTTGAAGTAAAAGTGAAATGGTCCTGAGGGCCAGACATTGCTCTTTTAGTATATCCACAAAGTTTATCAGCCTATTAAAAGATTTATCATGGTCAACAAGAGCAAATAAGAGATACCTGCCCCTGATAAGGGGAGGGGGAAGGACCCACCCCCATTACTCTTTCATAAGGGGGCATTACATAAACCTTAAGGTTTATAAAACTTAAATATTATGTAAATGTGAGCTATGATTGTTACTTGCTAAATCTGTATTTTAAAATTAGATATATATGGAACTTATCTTCAAAACTGCTTTTGCCTGTGAAGCTCTTTTCTCTATTCTCCTGTTGCCAAATTCTCAAGGCTCAAACTGTTGTCTTAAAGACTAGAATAATTCCTGTAGTTCACTTTTTTAGGCTTGCTTATTTTACACATATTCCAAGAGTCTCATGAACTTGGGTTCTTTTCCCACGAAATTCAATGCATGTGCAATATGCCAAGGATACAAATGTGATGAAAAGGGGTCCAAATCCTTTTGCCTGAAAGCAAGATTCTGAGCTTTCACCAAAATACAATCACGTACTAATGCAACAGTTTCAAAAATTTGAAGATAATCCTTGACAATTAATTTTATGTTGAAATTCATTTCCCTCCCACTTTGGCCAAACCAACTGTAAAATTATGATCCCAAGTTTTATCAACCATTTGTGCTAAATTCAAAGAACTTTGGAGTCCACAGTTCCATTTGGCTGGACTATCTGAAATTTTTATTTCCCTGAAATATTGAACTCCCTAACCCAGACCTTTCTTCCCATTTCTCATTAACATAGACAAAGATTGATACATTTTAAAGATTTTGTGAAATTTGCACTTTGCTAAAGAAAAGAAACTCTTATTTCTTAACCAAATTATTAAAACGCCAGAGAGCACATATATTTAAACAGCACATATGAATATACACCCTCCCAGCACAACAAATAGAACAGCAGATTAGCCACTGAACCTTAAAATCTTCCATGTAGTCATTCGCCAGACGGAGAGAACCACCGGGTCTCTTAGACTAAACTGTGGAGAAATCTAAAAACTATCTTAAACCCATGTTGCCATGTTTGCCGCTTGGGCTTCTGTCTCAGAGTCTTTGCTTGTTTCCTCTGAGAGTCCTGGGAAGTTATTTCTCTCCTGCTGAGCAGGAGCTCTACGGTTAGCTGGAGAGCAGGGATCTGGCATTGGTCTCCTTTGTTCTTTTATAGAAAGGAGAGTGTTTTCCACCTTATCTCTGGAAAGATGCTCCCTTAGGATGGGAATCATTTCTCCAATGGTTCCCCTATGCTCTGATAAGAGCATTGTGATGAGTGACTTCCATTGCAAAGGAGCCGAGTGAATTAACTGGGCCCTGTTGTGATTTGACAATATTACCGCATTAGGTCCTGCCAGGCCCGCAGCCTTCCCCAGATAAATCCACTCTATCATTGCTTCCTCACGCAGGCGCTGCACTGCCTCATCTAAGGACATCCACGGATTGGGCAAAGGGTCATTATGGTCCACCCAAAAGGGCCACCTTTGCCGCCAGCACTGAAGGCACCATTCTAAGAGGGGGGTATAGGTCACCCCTAGGGGAGCGCCGCGCAGGATTGCGTTGTAAAGCATGTCACGAGTCAGTGGCCCTAAAGATCTTAGCGCCTTAGCGTCTAGCACCAGGGAATCCGCCCCTTTGTCTAGCACCTTCAGAATCCATGCTTTCAAGGATTCTCCTGGCTTCTGCTGGTATTTCTCAGTAAGTGAGGCCAGATCATAAGTAGTAAAGCTTGGAGAATTTCTAAAGGTACTCTGTTGCCCTTGGAGATCTGTGGTCACCCGGTGTTTGGTTGCAGGTCTAGATGCGACCCTCATCCTGCGCTCCCAATGGGGAGGGGAAGATACTTTACAGTTACCCTCCCGAAAAGTCCTCTTCCAGTCTCTGTCTCTATCCTGGCTCAGTAGTCGTTTGCACTTTACAAGTACTGTTTGGCCATCCGCTAAGGTTGGCCCTGGAGATAACTGTTGGGAAGGGGTTGGCTGAGGCACCGTTGGTGGTGGAGGGACCTGTTGGGTAAGCGATGGTGTCTGTAGGAGAGGCGCCGATGCTTGCTGGGGAGGTGCTGACGAGGATGTTGGTGGTGGTAAGTGTTGGAGAGCTCCCGGCGGAGATGTAGCTGCTGATGTGAGTGCCTGTTGGAGAGTTGCGGGCAGGGGCGTTAGTGGTAATGCAGGTCCCTGTTGGTGTGGAGAAGACATCTGGGGAGAAGATGTTGTTGGCTGGATCTGAGCTGGACAGGAAGGATCAGAAGAGGAAGCATCAGAAGAAGGAGAAGAGAAAGGATCAGGGGAATGAGCAGCGGAGATGGCTGGAGACGATGAGGGAGCAGAAACAGAAGGGGAAGGAGTCCGGGAAAGGACCCTAGAAGGGGACTGGAAAAAGGAAGAGGACGCGGGAGGAGGAGCAGAAGGCTCAGACACCTGTTTAGGCTCAGGCTCAGAGAGGGGAGGGGTAGGCATCGAGAGGAAAGGTCTCGATGAAGGCACGGCCAATTTAACTAACTGTGCCTCCAGAGCTTCCACCTTGGCGATCTGAACTTTCGAGGCCTCTTGTAAAACTGTCTGGGCAGCTGCTGTCATAGTAGTCTTGTTCTGCACGTTCTGGAGTTCCTCCTGAGCTCCATCCAGCTGTGAAGCCAATTTCTCAATGACGGTGAGCATCAACCAGAGCAAACTGCCTGTGGCACCCCTCCTCTTAGGCGTCAGCCTGCAGATAATCCACTGACTCACTCCATCAGGATCTGTGGGACATTCCCCTTTGTTCCAGTGCACTGGGCTGCTGACCTGGGAAAGCACTTTAGCCACACAATACCACTTGTTGGTGTATGGCCAACCAGGAATTCTCTTAGGAACCTCCTGTTCCCCTTTTCCCTTAAATCGTCTTCTGAAGAAGTCCATTCTTGTTGAAAAATCACACATCAGACACCAGTTTTCCTGGGTGGGCTCATCCGTATTCTTCAGCAAGATGGTCAGGACACACAGTTGAAAGTAAAAGCTGCTTTACTGGCAAAAGGAATCCTCCATTAAGAGTGAAAGCAATTCTCATATAGATACATATGTAAGTACATCACCATGTCCTTGAATTAGGATAGTCTTGAAGATCCTTGGCTGATGGACTTCTAGATGCCAATATTCAAATCATCATTCTCCATGTGCCTTATACCTGCTACTTCAGGCACCAAAATCAGGAGAAAGCCTCTGATGGAGAGGTTACCTCAATTTATACTGTTCTAGAACAATGCTGGCTGTCATCCAAGCATCATGTATAATGTCAGATAACTTGGGACAAAAATGGTTATTATCCAGATGCTGTGTAAATTTTGAAAGAATCTTATTTGGATAGAATTCATTATACAAAGAGACTGTTTTATCTCTTTTTGTTTTGTATGTCCTGTTCCAAGATGTTGGCCGCTTGCCACATGCCACCTTCTTGCAAGAAAGACTTGAGATTTTTAATGCATTACAGTTACCTATTGGTGGAAGATAAGATTGTAAAGGTAGTTTGGGGCCATATTGTTGAATTTTTTGAATGCTAACCTGAGGAGTTCGGATACTTCACTTGGCAACAAAGAACCATTTAAGGCTTTTGAAGTGATGAGGGTTCACAAAGAATCAGACACAACTTAACAACAACATGGCATGTAGAAGTTTTCAGCTATAAGTCAGATAGAAAAATCCCATGGCTTTTAAGGTGTGATTCCAAGCCGATGGTAATACTTCCTCTTTAATGTCATTTGCAATGACAAAAGTATCTCCATTTCTGATGTTGAACCACTTGACAATGACAAGTACTTTAGTGATGAAAATTTCCCTTTCCAGGTCTTCAGTAAGTATGGTTGCTGAGGAGACAGGACCCATAGCACTTGCAGAGGCATTTGGTTGGTTGCATTCCCAGAAGTTCTTTCCCTGAATAACTGGTGTGAAGCCCATGCTGGAACCAAAGTTCCTGGTCTGAGAGAGTACTACTGTTCTCTCAGGACTCTTGCACTTACCTGCCTGTCAGAGATGGGTTAAATAAGTGATGGTGGTAGGTGATGGTGGACCCCTTTTCCATAAAGGCTGAGTGAAATGAGAGTGGGGAAAGAGATTCAAAGCAAAGATCCAGTCAAGAGATAATTTGTTGTTATTGTTGTTTTTAATCATTTCAGTCATGTCTGACTCTTTATGACCCCAGTTGAGGTTTTCTTGGCAAAGGTACTGGAGTCATTTGCCATTCCTTCTCCAGCTCATTTTAGGGATGAAGAAACTGAAGCAGAAGGGTTAAGTGACTTGCCCAGGGTCACACAGCTAGCAAGTGTCTGAGGCCAGGTTTGAACTCAGGAAGAGGAGGATTCCTGATAATTTAACTTAATTAATTAGATTTAATTTATTAAGTCACTTCAAATGTATGAGCATCTCACTCTTTTATAGAATCACGTGTTACTTGGATTCATTACAGGGGACAAATATGGACTGAATGCCCATCAAATGGCCATCTCATCAAAAGGCCAGGAAGAAATCATATATCAAGTACTAAATTATTTCATTGAAGAAGAGCAAAGTGAGTAGCGGGGAAAAACACACTGTGGTAAAATGCCCTGGACTTGGAGTCATAGGACCTAAGTTCAAATTCTGGCTCTGGCACTTAATAACCTGTATGACTTTAGACAAACCATTACACCCTTCCAAAGGAAAGGAAAGGAAACAAGCATTTATCACCTACTATGTGCCCAGCATTGTGTACTAAGTGCTTTATAAATCTTACCTCATTTGATCCTTGTAAAAGCCCTTGAAGGTAGGTACTATTATTATCCCCATTTTATAAATGAAGAAACTGAGGCAGAAAGAGGTTAAATGATTTGCCCGGGGTCACACAGCTAGTAAATGCTGAGGCTGAATTGAACTGGCTGTAGGCCCAGTGTTCTATCCGCTACATCGCCTAGCTGCCTCTACCTGCCTCTGATCCTCAATTTCTTCATCTGTAAAATTAAGGAGTTGGACTGGATGGTATCTGAGATTCTTTCCTTCTCTAACTCTATGATCATAATAAAATCCTCTGAATCTATCATCCCATGATCATTCTTAGCCCCATAAACAAATGAGTATAATTTCCTACATATTCATGTATTGATGGGAAGGGGGAAAGAAATCCCTGACAATCTTTTGCTCTGACATGAGGAACGTTTTTGGTTTTAGTGGCATCTGCCTTTCACTGTAGCTGGACCCACTTTTCCCAATCAAGTTGTCGTGCCTCTGTCATTGCTGCTGAGGAGCAGCTGGCCTCACCATGTCAATTCTGCCTTTCCTAGCTCTTAGTGTGGCCCCCAAGCTCCCTTGCTTCCTCTAACTCAACAGCTGTCGTATGCTTAAGTTTCACTCAAATATTGCAGTCACAGTAAGTAATGCATTCAAGATGTCAAATCTTGATTGAAGACTATGGATTAAGACTATGAATAAATTCATCAGTCTGGTAGAAAATAGCTCTTTTTGAGCTTTGAGATGGTTTTTTTTTGTATTTGTAAATCCAGTGCCAAACAAACAAAAATTCAGTAAAATAAAATCTAGCACTTTTATAAAACTTGATGAAAACAGTATTTCAAACTGTACAGTCACTAGAAGTGTAGTTGTAGAAAAAAAGATTCCCACAATTCCCTTGGGAATTCCAGTATCTTCTGATTCCTGTGCCTTGTCTATCATGGCACCTCCCTTTTCTTTAAGGTCGTTCTTACTCTCTACTGTTCTCCATTTTCAAAGGGGCCATCCACTGCTTATCTGCCTCTCTCCTCTTGTAGCCACCACTGATACTTTGTTTTCTTTGCTCTTTCAGACTGAAAACCAATATGGCCAGTCAACACATTTTCAGCCACATCAGTCAGCATCACAGCTGTTTGCTGGCTAGCAAATAAAAGAGAAGCTCCATCTGCTCTAAGACTTGGAGTTGCCCTTCTCAAAGGCAAGTTTTCAGACTTCAATGACTCAGCAGAGTTGGCGTAACTGCATTCCATTCTCTTCTTCCCTACCTAGGGGTGCAAGCAGTGGCCCCACACATAGGCACACAAGCTTAAGAATTCTCAGTGAGTCTTTCTGAAATTGAAGATAAATATAGGTCCAACTATGGACCCCCACAAATCCTTTTCTATGGACCCTTTAAATTCACATCATGACCCTTTGTCACTAGTGCCTAACTATATACATTGTCTTGAAACTTTTGTAACAAGCCTCCAGAATACATTGGAAACGAAGTCGGGGAGGAACACAAGCTGGCAACTTTCTCTGGCAAAGCCCTTGTTACCCTTACACAACATTTATTAAGTAACTATTAGAAGGGAGACTGTGGGATACAAACTACAATGAAATAGTCCCTGCCTTGAGGGGGCAGGGGAAGAGAAGAAACATTTATTAAAGACCTATCATGAGCCAGATGTGTACTTTACAAATATCTCACTTAATGCTCACAGCAACCTTGTGAAATAGGTGCTATTATTACCTCTATTTTATAATTAAGGAAAGTGAGGCATACAGAGGCTAAATGACTTACCCAGGGTCACACAGCTACTAAGTATGTGAGCTTAGATTTGAACTCTGACTCCAGGCCCAGTGCCCGATCCAGTGTTACCAGCTAGCTGCCTCTGAAGGACAGGTATTCTACTGGAGGGATATAGCATGTGCATTATGTGATGTCATTGGTCCTCTTCAAAAATGAAGGATGAATAACAAGAAACAAATAAATAGAAGGTTACTTGAAGAAAGAAAAAGCAATATCTGAGAGAATTAGTGAAGGCAGGCTTCCCAGATGAGGTAAGCCTTAAGGGAAGACAAGTATTCTGAGAGGTGGAGAGGAGATTGTCTATATAAAATGCTGACTTCTGAGGTTGTAGTCCCGTCATGTCCAACTCTCTGTAACCTCATTTAGGGTTTTCTTGGTAAAGATACTAGAGTGAGTGGTTTGCCATTTTCTTCTCCAGCTCATTTTACAGATCAGGAAACTGAGGCAAACAGGGCAAAGTGACTTGCTTAGGGTCACATAAGCTAGTGAGTCCCTGAGACTGGATTTGAACTCAGAAAGATGAGTCTTCCTGATTCCAAGGCAGGTACACTATCTACTGCTCCACCTAGCTGCCCTTAAAATGCCAACTGGTAAAGATTAATAGTCCAATTCATCTAAACCATAGCAAAACTGTATGTGATGGACAATAATATTAAATACATCTGAAAAGACAGGTAAAGGCTGGGTTGGGATAAAGGTGTTGAATGCAGGCTAAGAAGTCTGTTTAAGAGGTCAGAGAGGACCCCTGAAGATTTTCAAGCAAGGGAGGAACTTGGTCAAAAGTGTACCTTGGAAGGTGATTTTGACATCTGTGTGGAAGATTGGAGAGAGAGGAAAGCATGGAAATGCAAATCAATTAGGATAATGGTGGGAGATCACTAGGGCCTAGAGTAGGGGTGGGGAGCCTGCGGCCTCAAGAACACATGTAGCTCCCGAGGTCCACAAGTGTAGCCAAACTGCACAGAACAAATCCCCTTAATAAAAAGGTTTGTTCTGTTAAAAAAAAAAAGGGGAGGGGAAGGGAAAGACTAGTGGGAATGTTTGCTTCTCCAGAGCGTGGCAGCACACAGGGCCCATGCTCAGTGCAAGCTTGTGGATGGGTTACAGTGTCAAGTTGAACTGGTCAGTTCTAGAATCAAAAGCATGATGGGAAAATAGTGATGGGCTGGGAGAACCAGGACGTGTGGAGAGATTGCATTGAGCATGAAAAAGTGAGCTTAAAGAGAGTGACACAGGGAGAGATATAGAGGAAAACTGGATTATGATCCGAAAGAGTCTGAAAGAGCCCATTTGTAGGTAATGGCAACATATACCATATTAGCATAGGGCCAGCTAGGTGGTGCAGTAGATAGAGCACTGGGCTTGGAATCAGGAAGGCTTCATCTTCCTGAGTTTAAATCCAGCCTCAGACACTCGCTTGCTGTGTGACCTTGGGCAAGTCACTTAGCACTGTTTTGCCTCAGTTTCCTCATTGATAAAATGAGCTGAAGAAGGAAATGGCAAATCACTCCAATATCTTTGCCAAGAAAACCCCAAATGGGGTCAAGAAGAGTCAGACACAAGTGAAATCCCACAACAGCAACAATAAAGAGTATTAGCCTTCTCTGGGTGGCTGAGGTGGATGACATGAGATGTGATGAGGTTAATGAATTAGGAGGCCAGGATATTAGTGGAGAAAGGAAGGTATCAACATACATATTAAAGCCCCCCCAATAGGAGGCTGAGGTTTGGATGACTGTGAGCCAGGTATGGAAATCCTTGAGAAAGGAAGAAGAATGACCTGAAGATGAGTAGGAATATTAACAAACATCAAGCTCCTAGTAAAGTATACTATCTGGCACTTTCTTTTCTTTTTCTTTTCTTTTTTTGGACTGGGCCTTTGATTTCATTGGTATAGGGAGCTCTCGTTGCAGCAACTTTTAATCTTAGAGCAGGTATCAAGCATGCTGTGGAGTACAGTTGGAACTAGATTAGAATATAATTGGGAGACATTTGACAAAATAAATCAAACATAGATAACATTACATATAGCAATGCGTGGCTGTGAGGATCTTTATGTATAGATAAGGGGTCTCCATTTCTATTTGAGTTTCACACCACTGTCTTAAAAAGTTGCCTGAAGCCCAGAGAAGTTAAGTGACTTGTCCAAGGTAACTCAGCCAGAGAGCCTGAAAGGAGATGAGGTTCAGTGATGGAAACAGAGGGAGCATCTGTAAGTGGCAGAGAGGAGTAAAGAGTGTGCTTACTTCTCTTCCTTGTTTCAGAGAACCAGAGATAAGGGAAAATGGAGGGTAACAAGGGAGAGTATGAGAGAACAAATATACTGTACTGGAGAGGGGCACCAGAGATGTGGTATAGTGATAATAATAACAAAGGGGGCAGCTAGGTGGTGGGGTGGGTAGAGCACTGGCCCTGGAATCAGCAGGACCTGACTTAAACCATATGGGTTCAGGAGGACAGGGCTGAGCTGGGGGAGGGAGAAAGGGAGGTGAAGAGAAAGTTTTTGTTTTTGTTTTGTTTTGTTTTTATCAACAGATGAAAACTGAATTGCAGAGCTCAAAGGAGGAGGAGGTGGGAGTTTTCTGGCAGTAGATAAACCATGGTCTTTCTCCAGTTTCCTATCAAATCCAACACCATCAGTTGACTGGGTCTCTCTCCAGAGTTCTGGGATGGTGGAGCACCAACTTTATTCTAGGGCAGTGGTCTTAGCCTTTTCTGTCTCCAAACTCTGGGGAGCTGGGAATAAAGAGAGAAGGGAGACCAGATCAGGAAATCTGGGTAAGTAAATATCCATTAATCTATCTCCCAGGGGACCACTTTTGAAATACACTGTTGTCCACCCACCTCTTCCTGAATATGCTCTTCTTCTTTATTTTGCTTGATATGACTCTTTCCTGAATCTCCTCCTACCTGTCTCCTACCTTTCTCAGTATCATTTTGTAGACCACCATGATCTCCCACTTTCTAAGTGTGAGTGTGCCCTAAGGCTATATCCTGAGCTCTCTCTTCCTCTCTATACCTTTGCCCAGTTATTTCCAAACCTCAAGAGCTGCACCTTTGAGAGCATATGAATTAGCATCATGTCAAAACAGAGGAAAAGAGACAAATTGTGAGAGATATTGTAAGTTGAAATCACAGGATTTGGAGACTTAGTGAGTTTGAGAATCAAAGGAGAGGGAACAGTCAACTATTTCAAGTCTGGATGATAGGGAGAATGGGGGTGCTATTTAATGTAAGTAGGGCAAGTCTGACAAGATGCTTTAGGGTGTGAGTTGAGTTGTTAGGGGTGACATAGTTCAGAGACAATGTGGAACGGTAAATGGAGCACTGAGTTTAGAGTCAAGAAAATCTGGATTCCAATTCTACCTTATACTTACTAGCTGTGTGATGATAAGCAAGTCTTAAAACCTCTCTTATTTTAGGTATTTATGAAGAACATAAGCCTCCATATTTTTTTAGCCTGGCTTCCCATTTTTAAGAGAATGTGGTGGTGGTAGGAGCTGAATAGCCTAGCCAGAAGTCCAGAGTTACCCTTATTCAGTGTGATTTCAAAAGTGCAGACAAGACTGATGCTTCCTTAACCCACACAAATCTCTCATTGGCTAGATGATGCCTGGAATTTTATTATGAAAAACCCATTCTTTCAGCTAAGGCTATGCATTAAGATGTAGATGCCCCTGAGAGGGATAACAGGTGCAAATGACTAACAACTTTGAGTGAATAAAGGCTCTAAGAGGAGATTCCACTATCAATGTAGCATTTGTGTTTATCATTTTCTTTTCTGAGCATCTGTAATTGTTTTCAAGAGAAAAGCAAAACAAATCAAAATCAAACAATGTTGTTTCTTCAGTCAAACAGAAGTCTCCTCTACCATGTCCACGCTAATACATGTCAAGTCACCTGCTTACAGTGCACAGACCCTTTTACTCAATTTAGTTCATTTATTTTATTTTACTCATTTATTTTACTCATTTAGTTCATTTATTAAACATGTATTAGATGCAAGACAATTTGCTAGGTGCTTGGGATACAAAGACAAGAATGAAATCGTACCTGTCCTTGAGGAGCTTACATCTTCTTTGTCAAAGAGCAACAGCCAAATTATTGAAAGTAAGAAGAAAAAGGATAATATATTACTCTAAAGGCTGAAGGGACCTTAGAGATTATCTAGTTATAACTTCTGTTTTACAGGTGAGCAAACTGAGGTCCAAAACGATAAAGTACAGTTTGGGAAAATCTTAGGGGTACCAACAATGGACAAATTAGGTTGGGTCACAGGCCCCCTTTCCTTCTGTTATTAATATCTTCCCTGTTGACTTATCTGCTTTTTATTGAGGTTTCTGAGTTTTCTTTCTTATGAGATTTTTGGTAATTTTATTCTTTCTTTCTGTTTTTTTTTAAATGCAATTGGGGTTAAGGGACTTGCCAGGGTCACACAGCTAGTAAGTGTCAAGCGTTTGGTCTGAGGCCGGATTTGAACTTGGGTCCTCCTGACTTCAGGGCCGGTACTCTATTACTGTGCCACCTAGCTGCCCCTATTCCTTCTTTCTTATATTCCCCTATCACCAACTTTTTGACTCTTCCCATCTTGATGTCAAATCCCCCAGAGCAGAGCAAGACATCAAAGTGGCCTCAACCTCCTCTCTCATTGGGGAATTCACTTTTCATTGGCCTCAAACCCTGTCACAAGTGACTTTGGAGGAGTCAGAACTGACTTCAGATGGAATGCCAGTCTTTTTCCTTAAGGCCTGGTGGAGGGCCATGTACATGCTAGTGCCCTCCCTCACTTCCTTCTGCTCTTTAGTTCTCTGACTGAGCACCCTGTAATGTACTGGCCCCACAGACAGACCATGCTTCTACTTTCCTCTACCTCCTGTTCCACTGATAGGGGAGGAGGCAGAGTTGAAGACTGCTCCTTGTTGCCACAGATTAGTGGGGTGAGGCCAGGAGCAGGATATCTGGGAGACCACAGTAGGAGCAAGGAAATGCCCTAATGGATGACAGCACAAGTCAATGGGTCGGCTTGTCCCACCCTGGGCTAGCGGGGGAGGAAGTGCTGAGGTAGCATGAAATCAATTACAAAATTAGCCAACCCGGGGCAGCTAGGTGGCTCAATGGATGGCGCACTGGCCCTGGAGTCAGGAGTACCTGAGCTCAAATCTGGCCAAGTCACTTAACCCCAATTGCCTCACCAAAAAAAAAAAAGAAAAAAGAAAAGAAAAAAAGAAAAAGATTAGCTATCTAGCTGTTAATTCACCAGGCTGTTAACCTTTTTAGAATTCTTGATATCTTGATCTGCAGAGGCAGCAGCAAGTGCTTTACTTCTTGTGTATAATTCCTATTTGGGGGTGTTTTGCAAGTTTTGGAGGACTAGAGAAAACATCCAGCCCTCTAGCTTGTTGGGTCACGGAATTCAGTTTCAATTATTGTAGTGTTTTTGTTTGCATTTACATGTTTGTAGTCATTGCTATGGTGTTTTCTTGGTATTGTTTGCTTTACTTTATATCAGTCTATATGACTATATGATATAAAGACTAACAGTCTTTCTATGCTTCTCTCATTTATTTTGTTGGGAGCAGTAGCATAGCATAATGGATGGGCCTTGAACGCTCTCAGAAAGACCTAGATTCAAATCCTTCCTCAGGCATTTACTACTTGTGTGATTCTGGGCAACTGATTTAACCTCTCTGTGATGCAGTTTCTTCATCCCTCAAATGATGAACTTGCAAGATACCTTCTAGCTTGAAAGCTATGATCTTATGGATTTTAAAAAAAAATTTATTCTGAACATAAACACCAAAACAAATCTTTCCATATGTATACAGCAGTACACAAAAAGATGATTTTATATGAAACTGTGGATATCCATTTCATTGTTTGTTTGATTTTTAAACATACATAATAAATTCAGCATATAACTTTCAAAACTGTCTTTCTTGTCTGTATTTCTTTCTGAATTTCCTTCTATTTTCTTCTAGTCATTTTAAGAACATTTCAATGACCCTCTTTCTTCTACCCTCCCCTACTCCACCTTTGATTTCCCTATTGGTAACTACTCCCTTCCCAACTACCCCCCTTCCCCATTAAAAAGAGAAAAAAACAAAAACAAAACCTTGTAACAAGTAAGCATTGTAAAGCAAAACAATCCATATGTAGCCATGCCCAAAAATGTATGTCTTTTTCTGCTTTTTGGGTCCATCACTGTCAGGAGATGGATAATATGCTTCATTTTAATTGTCTGGAGGCGGTCATTGCTTTGATAAGAGCTTTTAAGACTGTCAAAGCTCTTTTTCTCTACAATGCTATTATACTTGTATAAATGGTTATCCTGGTTCTGCTCACTTCATACTGCATCTGTTCCTATTTCCCAGGATTCTCTCAAATTTCCTTTTCCATAACTTCTTATGGTACACTAATGTTCTATTGTATCTATACAACCACCATTGTTCAGCCATTCCCCAAATAATAGTCACACCCTTAGTTTCCAGTTCTTTTTTTTTCCTTTTAATCTCCTCTTTAGGATAAAGAAGTCCATTTTCCTTAAAATCATTTCTTCCTTTGTGTTATCACCCCTTGTAACATCTCCTCTACTTATCCCCATGTATTTCCCAAATGAGTTTGATGTATTTCTACTTTTAACTCTTGTGTGTATGTGTGTTCAATCTTCCTTTGTCTGATTCAGAAATGAATGAGGGTCTTCTAATACCCACTCCCCAACTACTTCCTCCATGTTTGTATACTCTTCTCATACCCTCCAATTATGAGGATCAAGATCAACTCCCTTCTTCTTCCTTTGTATATATTTCTTCTTGCTTCCTTTTTCATTCCTCTCTTAGAATCCTCAGAGCAGGACTAACCAAGCCCTGGGTCCTTTGTTTGTCTTTTTTAACTCCTTTAAAGACATTAAGGTTCTGAAGGGACACTTGTTGCTTCTCTTCCTATTGGAATGTTAACACTGCTCAAATGCATTTACCTTTCTGGCTTTCTTTGGGCTCACGTTTGCATTTCAAAATTCCTACTCAGCTCTGATATTATCATCAAGAATACTGGATAGTCTCCTCTTTTTCCATTAAAGGTTTATCTTTTTATATGTAGGATCACACTCGAGTTTACAGGATAAGTTACTATTGCTTATAAGTCCATCACTTTTGCCTTTTGAAATTTTGTATTCCAATATCACCTCTGATTTTTATTAGAAGCTTCTAGGTGATTCTAGATCCAAGATCCTTTCTGTGATCGTTACTGTGGTAACTTGATACTTTCAATCTTTCTTTCTCGTTGTTTGGAATATATTTGTATGGAGTATATTTCCATTGATGTTAGAGTTTCCCTTGTTTAACTGAATTTTTACTACACTGGCACTCATCCTTTCTGAAGTTTTCTTTTTCTTCCCTCCATTCTTCCCTTCCCTCTGTCCCTCCCTTCCTCTTTCCCTCTATCCCTCCCTTATCTTCTTCCCTTCTTTCTTTTCTCTCTTCCTCCCTTCCTTTTCCCCTCCCTTTCTTCTCTTCTCTCCTTTCCTCTTTTCCTTTCTCCCTTCCTCATTTCTTCTTTCCTTCTTTTTCCTTCCTTCCTTCCTTCCTTCCTTCCTTCCTTCCTTCCTTCCTTCCTTCCTTCCTTCCTTCCTTCCTTCCTTCCTTTCCTTCTCTCTCTCTCTCTCTCTCTCTCTCTCTCTCTCTCTCTCTCTCTCTCTCTCTCTCTCTCTCTCTCTCTCTGTCTCCCTCTGTTTCTCTATCTGTCTGTCTCTCTTTCCTTCTTTTGTCTGGGTCTCCCTACTT